CGCTGCTGGCGGCGCTGGCGAGAGGGCCACGTCCCCGTCGGAGCAGCCGAGCGCCCCCTGCTGGGAACACCCCTGGCCTGCCTGAGCTGCACACGTGGGGCCTTTCGCCAGCGACTCCCGTAAGGCGGGGCTCCAGGAACTGGCCCTTAAAAATGAGATTTCAGCTCCTACATCGGCAATGGGTTGTGTAAAGTGAATGCAAGGCACCGGGTCTCAGCACAAGGGTCTGCGGCTAAGTAATGTAAGGATGGAGGCGGAGGGAGAGATGTATGTCTGAGGGAAGGGGACAATAGGGAGCCACCTTTAGACCCCACTGAAATGCGTTGCACACATCACAGTAAAATGACAAGTGTTTTATTATGGGAGCAGTGGGTGGCAAAAGACCAAATCCAAGGTAGCAGCTGTTTTCTGCGGGAGAGTTTAATCTGCTCTCTAGGAATTGAGCTTTGCTTGGTATCCCCATATAATGTCCTCCTGGTCAACAATAAAATGCAGCTGTTGCTAAGACTATGGAACACCCAAGGGCTGCATCTAGAGTGGCAAGTTTTTCTGCAAAAGCAGATGCTTTTGCGAAAAAACTTGCCAGAGGTCTACACTGGCCACTTGAATTTCCGCAAGAACACTGACGATCTCATGTAAGAAATCAGTGCTTCTTGCGGAAATACTATGCTGCTCCCGTTCAGGCAAAAGTCCTTTTGCGCAAAGCTTTTGCACAAAAGGGCCAGTGTAGACAGCTCAGATTTTGTTTTGCGAAAATGGCGATCGGGACTTTTTTGCGCAAAAGCACGTCTAGATTGGCACGGACGCTTTTCCACAAAAAGTGCTTTTGCGGAAAAGCGTCTGTGCCAATCTAGACGCTCTTTTCCGCAAATGCTTTTAACGGAAACTTTTCCGTTAAAAGCATTTGCAGAAAATCATGCCAGTCTAGACGTAGCCAAGAGGTATAAGAAACCACCTTAGATTTGACTGAGCTTTTGTCTATGCGATGGGTTTGGGGGAATTTAGGCAGCTGTATCTGGATACCCTGCTGGCAGTGCAAATGGGCTTCTCTCACTTTCACCTCTTGTATTTTGATGTAGTATTTTGACTTTGATGGAGTAAGTCTTGATTTCCATCAGTACAAGGAGGAAAAGAATCCTCTGTCAGTCTGTCTCATAGTTGGCAGGGGGTACAGTTGTTAATCAATTAAAAATCAGTGCTTCAATTTACCAAGCTGGTAGTGACCTAGAACATAGCACCCTACAATAGATGTGAGTATGCTATAACTCATACTGATGAATCTTCTTCCTTAATTAGAGTGCTAAGCACTACCACATCTTTCTCTCTGAGAATCACTTATATTCATATTTTCCCATTTGATACAAGTATTGTTGCCATTTTTAAATATAAATGTTCCAATTTAGGGCACTGAGGCATGTTTGGATTTAATAAAATTCCCAGACTTGAAAGTGGAATTAAGGTTTTAAATAAAGTAACTTCCTTTATTTAAAAAATTAGAATGTAATTATTAAATAAACAAACATTTGAAAGGTATGCTACTTAAAAGTTCCAAAAAATAAAATCTTGCCTAAATATAGCTTACAGCTCCTAATCCACTTCACCTAACATATTAGCTTAAGGCCAATATCTCTCTCAGTCTCCCAAACTGAACAAAATCTCACGTCCTGATTTCCTTCTATGGCCAAGAAACCTCAATATATCACATTTTATGTAGATGTGGGTAAATGCTGATTTTAAATTGAGTTGGGATATTACTAGAGGCCCAAAAACTGTGACAAAAAATAATGAGATCATGAGAAAAGGTTGTTTAGTGAATTTGTTACCATTGAACTTTTGGTGTTATCTTATTTAAGTAGTCCTGTGGCACCTTAGAGACTAACAAAAATATAGAGCATCAAGAGCTTTCATCAATAAGACCCACTTCACCAGATGAAAATATGTCCAGAGCTTGTACAAAGAAGATGGTTATCAATTGTTCTCCAGGCCCACTGATGACAGGACAAGAAATTATCTGCTTAATTTACAGAGAAGGAGATAGGTTAACAGAAAGAAAACTATTTCAGGGCTTAATTACCCTTTTAGGTTAAGGGAAGATGTGGAACCACCATCCTTTGTCAGGAATGGTCTAGGCTAGGTGTACTTGGCCCTGTCCCAGTGTACGTGGATGGACTAAGTGACCTCTCAAACTCCCTTTCAGTACTATATTTCTATGATTCACTGAATGTACAACGAGACATGAACAAAACTCCTGGTATTCCTTTCTCTAACACTTATTTTATATCTATCTCTGTGCTTTTACTAGGAGAGACCAGTTTCTGACTCAGTAAGACAGGGTGATAGAGTGCCTCAAAGGGCAGGTAGGCAAGTTCAGCCGTATGGTCGGCCCACCAGATTACAGCCTTAAGGGGATATGTGTCCCAACCCAGCAGTCCTTTCTTAGTTGCGTTTGGAACTGTGCACATAATACAATCTGATTCAAGATTTTCAAACCGCTACAAAAACTTTCTTAGGTTTTGTGGGGTTTTTAAATTTATTATTTTGAACATGCTTAGCTGTATCTCCGGATTATCTGGGACTTGTATTAATTCTACCTGTATCTCTATTATAAACAAGATAAACATTTTAACCTACTACATTCAAAAAGGCCTCCCTATTGTGAAAGTGGGTCAATAGAATACTGCCTTAAATGCAACTTACAAAGCTCATCTTATAGAGGATACTTTTAAAAAAGTGACCTATTTCAATTCATGAATTATCTTCATCTGTGGTTAGAATTTTATTCAGTTTAAGGTCTCCTTTATAACAACGATGGCTGAGATTTGAGGGGAAAATGTAGTGCCTAGCCTTATACTGCTCTTAAACATACTGGCTACATCTAGACTGCTTCCTCTTGTGCAAGAAAATATGCAAATGAGGTGAAGCAATGAATATTGCCATGTCTCATTTGCATACTTAATGAGCTACCTTTTTGCACAAGGGGCTTTTGCGCAAGAGCCATTCTGCCGCTTTTTTTCAGGCAGAACAGCTCTTGTGCAAGAGGCGGCTTTTGCGCAAGAGTTGTATAGATGGCTCCTTTGTGCGCAAAAGCCCAGTGCGCAAATATGGTGGCTCATTAAGTATGCAAATGAGGCACAGCGATATTCACTGCTTCACCTCATTTTCATATTTTCTTGCACAAAAGAGCGCAGTATAGACGTAGCCGAAAGCTCTTGAGAACGAAACAGCCAAAGTATAGAAAGTAATTACAAGAGTACATAGAAATATATATAAAAGCAAATTTGATAAGTGTCTTGGGGTTAGGGAAAATTGTGTTAAAGGTGCATTTAAAGGAACATGGTTTTGTGTTCATAGTTATGCTTTAGTATTAGAGCTGATCATAGCATTTACTTTACCTTTGCTGGGTTTTTAATCTTTCAGTGAATCATTTACTGAGTAATGAACCTGAGTTGGCTTAGGCTGGGCCTATGTCAATCTAAATTTTAAGCAATGTTGCTCAAAGGTGAGAAAAATGTGCACATAATGTTATCGTTATGCTGAATTAATTCCTAGTGTAGTTCTGGCTAGATTAAGGGAAGATATTCAGCTGCAGCACAGCCATGCCCTAGTTTTACCTAGACTTCTAATCATTTCATTTCACTGTCACACAGGGCTAGCACATAACCAAGGGATGGATTATAAACTGGCTGAAGGAAAGGTGATTTATTTTTCTAAAGTGACCACACATCCTGTTTTAGCTGGAACTTTAAAAATTATTATGAAGTTCTGACCCTGCCCTCCCAACTTTTTTTTGGCAAAAGTGAGCACTTGTCCCCTTTGCTCTTGCCAATTTAATCCAAGGGGTGGGGTGTGGAAGAGGAAGAGGCAAAGCAGAAGTAAGCCCTGTGCAGGGAGCAGACAGGGGTGGAAAGAAGGGTTTTTAAACCAGCTCTGTGAGCAGTGGGCACTCAGGCTATGTCTACACTGTCGGGTTCTTGCACAAGAACATCTTGCGCAAGGGTTTTTTTGTGCAAGAGCATCCATGGCAGCGTGGACGCTCTCTTGCGCAAGAAAGTTCTGATGGCCATTTTAGCCATAGGGCTTTCTTACGCAAGAAATCCCTGCCGCTCGTCCACACTGCCCTCTTGCGCAAGACCTCTTGTGCAAGAGGCCTTACATGTGTTAGAAAAGAGCATAGCTCTTGCACAAGTTGCCCTGTCTTCGAGGCTGTACTGTAAATCTTGCACAAGGGCAGGGAGGCAGTGTGGACATTCTGCGGGTTCTTGCGCAAAAACCCACTAGTGTAGACAGCCTCAGGGAGCCACCTCTTCCCTCCCCCCATTAGAGGCGACAGTGGGTGGGGCACAGGCTGGGGCAGCCCATGGCTATAGGCGACTCAGCCGCTGCCTGGGGCGCCGCCACGCGGTGTGCCCAAGGATGATGTCATGGGGGCACCCGCCCATGACGTCAGGCCATTGACGGCCCTACCAACAGGGGCACCGATCACGTATGCCGGCTGGGGCGCCAGCTGCTGCAGCTGGTCTCTGGCTGCTCCTGGGCACAGGCAGGAGCCAGTGCACATGGGGAGCTGGCTTTTCTGCACTGCTGTCTCTGATACAGATTTTCAGCAGTTATATAATTTCACCTAAACACATTTTAACATCCCTAAGCCTCGCCCTGTGCTGAGGCACCGCCCCAAGGGGGGTTGCAATAAGACAGTCCTGCAAGAACTTTTAAGTTACTTTCACCCCTAAGGGTGAGCGAGCATAAGGGGCAGGGAGGGCAGAGGAAGGACACAGAGGAGCTTGTCTCTGATACAGATTTTCAGCAGTTATATAATTTCACCTAAACACATTTTAACATCCCTAAGCCTCGCCCTGTGCTGAGGCACCGC